TACTTTGTTGCAGTAAGCAAAACCTCAATTTTCCCGATAAACTACCTAAACTGATAGGTGAACTGTTGACTAAATGCCTAAGCAGGAAGTCGTCAACACGTCCGTCATTCAAGGACATATTAGAGAAGCTTAATCTGTTAAAAGTAATTCGTAGTTTGCTACTGCAAACAATTTACTGCTTTCCAGTCTAGGATTTCAGAAGTAGTTTTTGCTGTTTCTTTTACTATTGAATCTAAATAAAATTAAAGACTTCTAAAAATACGTTTATTAAAAATTACGTCATGAGACTGATATTTGATTATATTGTCATACAGACTGACCCGGAATTCTCACAAATTAGTGACCAGCAGTGGAGAAGTCTATGTTCTCAATGGAATAGTAGTGCCGCAGAAGCAATGAGAAAATTACAACAGTTTATCACAAAACAGAGTGTAAACTATAATTTAAATATTAATGACATTTAAATTAGTATTTTTTAAAGCTTAACAAGTTTTATGCTTTGGTTTTTGACTATTTTTAAACAAACCTTCTTTTCGTTGTGACACTGTTTAATGTTTTCTCTAAGCCTTTTTCATTTCCATTTCCTGCGAACAAGGCAGGCTCTGATATACTACTTTTTTTCAACAAAATACCGGACAGTGTCCTCAGTAAAGTTTCACAAAAATAAACCTTTACACCACTTTTCTTCTTTTTTTTTTTTATTTTGTGACAAAATTGGCTGGAACATGATTTCTTTTACGAAATTTGATTCAAACTGTTTTGTAAGACAAATTGCTTTTTAAATGATCGGTATTTGATTTGTAATTTAGGTGTAAGCACAACCTGAATTATTTAGCAAAAAACTGTTTACTAGGTTCCTGCAAGTTTAAATCAAGGTTTCAGCACTTGATGCTTTTTCATAAACAAACATCGTTGTTTCTGAACAAATACCTTCAATGTCACTGATGATTTTGATGCTACTTGGTTTACTGTTAAATGTTAAAACAAGCGACAATGATTCGCAAATTTTACTTTAAAAAAAATATCTGTTAAAGAAATATGCTTTTATATTACTGACTAAACGTTATTTGCTTTTAGGAAAATTCTCTGGAAGAAAACGACTAGAGCAAAAAAACAGTCTTGATCTTGCGAGACTTTAAATAAAAATTTTTTATCCTTTAATGCTCCAAAGTAGCAGTCTGAAAATAAAGTAATGAAAAAGTGACTTGCCAGTTGCAAATGAACCCTCTTAAAATACGCAGAAACAGTGCGAGATACGTCACCGCAAAGAAAGTGACGATGACGAATGCACATACAGTATTAATATTAAGTGACAAGCTATACAGACCTTCTAGTCTAGTATTGCTTAACTGATAGTACAACTTAAAAACTAAGAAGTTACTGTTCAGATAAATTCAGAATTTAATAAAGTAAAAGCAAATAATTTCTTCTCAAAGAAGCACTGTTTCACAACTGGGTTATCAATGTACTTCATTTATATTCTTCCAAATTCTTATTCACCATCTTTTGTATAAATTTACTGCAAGGCAAAAACAAAGTCTAATATAATTCAACTTTATCGCAATAAACTTTAAAAACAGCTCTAACGTCTGACTTTGAAAATTTTTTATTTTCATAGTAGTTTGTATGATGACATCTAAACTTTTTTCTAATGACACCGTAAATGGAAGTTTTGGTAGTGGCATCAAAAAAATAACCATAAGAAAATAACAATGATAGTATCAGCTACAGGATACTCATAACTTTATTCGTTTGTCTAGTGGTCATAAGGTTATGCATTAAGTGTAAAACCAAAAGCTAGTCTTACACAATAGCAGTTCTTGATACTTTTACACAAGTAATTCATCAAAATTTTAACAAAAATTTTTGTCTGGTTTGTGACAGTTTGTTGGTTAGCAAACATCAGTTTATTTTATAGATTTTTATCAAAAAAGGTTTGTTCAGAGAAATTGGTAGCAGTTGGAATTGAAATTTAATTAAGACATTGTTTATTTTTTATTGAAGTAAAAAACGGTTAATAAATCATGCAGAGTACACCTTTGATAACCTCTTAAACATTTATGCAGGATAACAAATGATTGTCAGTTTGATATACTCCTTACAGAAAGCGAGTAATTTATACGGCTTTTTGTTCTTATATTCACTACCTTAGTGACATTTTAACTGTTGAAAACAACGCTTATATATCACATCTTTTCTGGTAATTTTTGGAACTCTAACATCCAGAGTTAAATAATGCATAATACAGTTATATTCTACAAAGTTGTCGGCTTTTCAGAAACAGAGTATACAAACAAAACAACTTTTGAAATTTTTCTTTTTTTTTTCTATTGAAGAGATATAATTTTATTTTTTCGATTACGTTTTCTACAACTCTGTACCGAAATCTTTACAAGCAGAACAGTTGTTATCCTAATAAACAAAGCATAACTGAAGGAAAACAAGGTGTATTTTCAAATAAAATCTTGAAAACATTCTTTTTGTTTTAAATAGTTTTTGTTTGAAACGGCTAGACACTTTTGCTAGAAAATTTTACGCAGAAAGAAATTACCAATGTAAACATTATAACAAAAAAAGTTTTTAAAAAAAAAGACAAAAGAATGTTTTATATAAGCCGTCTTCATGTTTTTCCCTGTTAACGGTTTCAAATGCATGAAGTTCTGCTTGTAATAAAGCATTAAAAAGTTTCAACCTGAAGTCTCAAACCGCATTTTTACTTACAACAACAACATAGTGAAATGTATAATCTCAAAAAAAAAATTCTTTTCTTTATAAAACTGAAGGTTCAGCAATACACACACACAGTTGATTGATGAAATTATATGCAAAAAGGTTTATTAAACATCACCGTTACAAGTATCTACATAATCAGGTGAGGTAAAATGCAGCATCAAGCTATATAATTGTCAGAACAAAAAAAAAAGAGAAAATAAGATAAAATAAGTGTTAACATACAAACTTAAGAAGATTGTCAATTAAATTCTGCTGTTTTGCAGAAACTGCAAAACAGACTAAAGATTGCGGTGTAGGAAGCGAAACGGGATACACTATGCTTACTTGAATAAATTTCATTTATACTTATTAAATATGGCAATTCTATAAATATAAAAAAAAAAATTGATTAAGTTAGCTGTTATTATTGTCATCATTAATTGATTGTTTTCAGACTTTTTTTTTTTTTGTCTATGATTAAACTCACATAATTAATAAAATTAGTGAAAAAAGAAGCGGAACCAAAAAGAAAGTTCTTAGCTCTTTTTTTTTTTTTGCATAATTGAAAAAAGCATTTATTTTTTTGGTGATTTTTAAGAAACGGATCAAAAACAGATAAAATAATTTTGTAATAAATCGACAATTTCAAAAACATTTTATTTTCTGCAGTAAAATAGTTTACCATTTTACTTTAGTATCGTAATCACTGTATTAGTGTACCATTTGTAAAAACGATATGTTTATTCCAGGTGTGCGTCTGGATAGAATCTTGCATACAGTCGCTAAAACAAAAAGAAAACAAAAGCACTTAGAATCTAGTCTAGACTAATAGTATTGTATCCATGTTGATCAATGTGATCAGTGTTAAGTTTTTGATCAAATTATTGCCTACAGATTGTTATGTATGACAATCAAACAACAGTGAACAACAGATTTTTTTTTACCTATTATAAAAGACATTAAAATTTATTTGATTTTTTTATGTCAGTAAAGCAGAATACGTATTCTATCAGTCAGAGCAGAAATGCAAATCTTTGTTAGCTTTTTTTTTTGGTTTTGTTGTTCATCTTTTGATAGGTTACAAAAACGTTTTTGTCATAATCAAAACTTAGTGATAAGAGCTGAAAAAAAACAGTTACTTACCGTTCGACGAATAGCCGGCATAATAAGTGTATCGTTGTAGATGAACATTCCCAGAATAAGAATAACAAATCCAAGAATCTAAATGTGTAACCATTTAGGTGGATCAATTCTTTTTTTAATTTTAATTTATTCCTTAAGTTAATCTTCTTTTTTTTGTTGTTGTTGTTGTCGTTGCTGAAGAGGCTCAACAAAGTATTATAGTTTTAGTTTGATTAGTCTTTTTTTTTTCTGTTATAATATCCGTTAATATATTCAACAAATTTCTTTACCAATAAACAAAAAAATTCTTTTGTCTAACTGGTTAAAAAGT